GTACTGGTCAGGCAACGGTCGTGGATGATGTTATCCAACATGATAGACAGCTGGATGTACTCCTCAATCGATCGCGTCTCCTCGTGGCACTGCAACTCTGTCTGGTCCCCCAAGCTGCATCCCATGGCGGGCTGGTCCAGGACCAGACTCTTCTCCATTCACAATGCCGTCGCTCACTCATGGGCTTTCCCGGAGAGCAGGGAAATCATAAAATGCACCTGGTCTGAGTCTCCCTGGAACATCTCCAGGTGGTGCATCAAGAATTCCCAGCATCATGCTACTCGGGCATGGCAATCAGGATCCCCAGAAAAGCGTGCAAGGACACCTTGGCAAGGAGGCAGCAGCACCGGCTCCTTGCTGCAGCTTCTCGATGAGGATGGTGAGCTGGGCAATTGGTGCAAGCACGTCCTGCAGCTGACACTGTGTGTCCGCTGTATCTATGTCTCCCAGTGAGGTATTTTGTCATGAATGCAAGGCATAGGGACCCAGATGTGGTACACCGGGGTTTTATTAGGGAACTTAGCAGAAAGAACTTGACTCAGCAATCAAAGTCGAGGTCAGGAATCAGGAAGGTTAGGTAGCCAAGTGCGTCAGTGCTATGAGCAGGAGGACTGCACTATAAATACCTTCACAATACATTATAATGGCTTATACCAACCATTATAATGCATTATGAAGGTAATGCTGTGCATTATAGATGAGAGCTTCATAGAGCATCCATAATGCATAATAAACATGGCTGTAATGTGTTATGTCTTTTTATAAATACTTATAGTTTATTATGCATTATGAAGGCTCTGTGAAGATCTCATCTGTAATTTTTTTGTGAATGCATTATAATGCATTATGATGACTGCATCAAGACAAGTGTTACCAAACTGGGGACATTGAGCTTGAATGAGCAATGTTATGGACCTCCAATGCTGAGGTGGTTGTGTGGAGGTGTGGCCATAAGGTTGTTGGTGCCTGTGTGGTAGCAATCCCCAAACCCCTTGGTGGACACCAGTGGTAAAGGGAGCTATCAGGCTGAAGAAGGAAGCCTTCCAAGCTTGGTTTGCAGCTGACAGGTACTGGCAGGCCTGTAGAATGTGGCTTTGGCAGTTGCAGAAGCAAAAACCTGGGTGGGGGAGGAGTTTGGTGAAGCCATGGAAGATAATTTTGGTCGACGTCAAAGAAATTCTGGCAAACTGTCTAGAAACTCAGCAGGGGGAAGCAAGACTTCACCCATGCTGTTTACAGCAGAGAAGGGCCCCTGTTGACCTCAAATGGGAATATAGCCAGGTAGTGGAAGGAGTACTTTGATGACCTCCTAAATCCCACTGGTATGCCTTGGAGGACTTCAAAGGAGGACTTACCTATCACTAGGGCTGAACTCACTGAATTGGGTCTGGAGGTGGATGAGATTCGCCCTGAGTTCTTGAAAGCTCTTCATGTTGTTGGGCTGTCTTGGCTGACATGTCACTTCAATAATACCTGGAGGTTGAGGACAGTGCCTTTGGATTGGCAGAGTGGGGTGGTGGTCCCAATCTTTAAATGTATGTAGTGTGGGGTCTGTCATTATGAGCCATCAGGTTCCTGTATAACTGGAGTGAGAGTTTGGTTCACATTATCATTGGTAAGTCAGACTGATTCCCAGTGGGCGTTGGACTCCGCCAGGGCTGGCCTTTGTCACTGATTCTGTTCATAACTTTTATGGACAGAATTTCTAGACGCGACTGAGGGATCCCTGGTATTGCTAAATGGCTTTCCGACTTGCTGTACCGGAATGCTGTTAACTCGTATCTGATGTAATTCCTCTGTTCCAAGTTACGACCTCCAAGTTAAATGGAACACAGCATAAGAATCTCACTGGTATTGTTCCTGAGTGAGGGAAGAAGGGAGTAGGAGATTGACAAGCATTTCAATGCAGATACTGTACAGTTTTGTTGTGGTGAAGTGAGAGCTGAGCTGGAAGGCAAAGCTATCGATTTACTGGTCGATGTATATTCCTACTTTTACCTGTGGTCATGAGTTTTCGGTAAATGAGATTGTGAATACAAATGGCTGATATGAATTTCCTTTACAGAGTGTCTGAGCTCTGCCTTAGAGATAAGGTGAGAAGCTTGGACATTTGGGAGGAGTTCAAAGTAGAGTTGTCCTAAATTGGTTATATGCTTAAGTGAGTGTGCACCCTGCAATGGGCTGGTGCCCTGTCTAGGGTTTGTTCCTCCCTCACTCTAATTGCAGTATAATATTATATATATATATATACAGTGGTACCTCAGTTCTCGAACTTAATCCGTTCCGGACTCCGGATGGAATCCTAAAAAGTTCGAGTTCTGATCGAATTTTTCCCATAAGAAATAATGGAAAACCAATTAATTGGTTCCCGGCCCCCCAAAATTATACCTAAATGTTTTTTTTTTGTTTTTTTTTTTATCATTTAAACACAAAATGAACAGGATAAAATAAGAAGAGCATTTTTTTCTTAATGGCTTCCAAAACGATAAAGATCTTATCCCAACATTACCCCTGTCCTGCCCCGATCGTCCGCTCCTTCCGTGTGCCACGCCCCCTCGTTAACCTCGTGTGGGATCCCCATGTGATCAGCTGTTTCTGGTTGTTGTCATTAGTCCTCTGTATTAAGTCCGCGTTTCAGTTTGTTTCCCCAGTCCGGTCATTGGGTGCGTTCGACTTGCTTACAGCGCTGGCTTAAAGCAACGCATTCTGATCCTGACGCAATGCATTACGGTTAGATGCATTGCAACCTCTCACCCTGCTGCACAAACTGGAACCGCCTCCGTGACGACACACCTTTGCCCTTATTGGCTGAAGAGTTTAGTTACACGCATGACGCTTGTATCTCAGGCATTTCCAATGCGTAATCTGCTATTTCTCCCGAATATCACGTAAAGCAGTGAGAACTGGTTTTCAGTTAATTTACCTGGTAAAATAAAGTTTAAATAAATTACATAAATGCTCTAATAGTACACGTAAGTTAGTGGTTTATTTATTGTTAGTTACTGTAATGTTGCGCTGCTTTATTTGGTTAATCGTCCAGTCTGTGAAGAAGGCATTCAAGTAAGAATTGCATTGTACTGTAGTATGACTCATTTCCTGGTGCGTACAATTTATATTAGGTCAGTGTTCACGGTCCGACTTCTGATATTCAGATCGAGTTCTTGGTCAAACTGGTTTGTTCGACTTTCAAGAAATTCGAGTTCTAGTGAGTTCGAGAACCGAGGTACCACTATGTGTGTGTGTGTGTGTGTGTATGTGTGTGTGTGTATATATATATATATATGTATATATATATATATATGTATAAACAGTTATATAAACAGTTACTTGAGTAATCGTCAAATGAATTGGTAGCCCTAGAGTGAAACTTGCATGTAGACTGGATTTATATTATCTGCCTGTTTTACAAATAAATGTGACAAGACTAAAGCTGTTATCCCCATCCTTTGGAAACAGTTGTGTATGCTGGCTTGTGATTCTCCTTATTCAGTCAGTTATTTCAGATCTGAACTGTAACTGAATGTATACAAACAAGCTTGGGTAAATCAAGGCCAAACCATCATGCGCTTAATTGTGTGCCGTCTGCTGGTTTCTTCCAAGAAATTGTTTCTATTGATTTTAAAGCCATCCCCTTAGCAGAAGCAAACATGTCATAATGAATTCTCCCATCAAGTATTCAGCGCTGCTGTGTAAACATCTTAAGTTCTCTTAAGTGGTGAGTAAGGAAGAAAGAAGCTGCAAAAGGCACACAGTCGATTGAGCTTCTTTCTGAGTAATACTGCTCTCAAACACATCTGCCATTATGGACAAGTCATTTTGTATCTCCAGTATTGATTTTACTTTTGTTGTTTTTCTTTGAAATAAAAACTGGGGTTACAGAGATTTGGCAGCTCCAGGGGGGCTATCTACAGGTGGTCCCTAATTCAGACCTGTAATTGCCCCATAAAGTGCATTGTGTTGATTCTGACCACTCAGTCTCTCAGTGGGAACAAGACAAGCAATCTGGAAAACGGACAAATAACTCAGTGTCCCGTTGAGAGACTATCTTAAGCCACTTTAAATATACACAGACAGCCATTACGGTCCATTCTCTTGGCCTTCCCAAAAGTGCTATTAGGCGAAGCTGATGAACATTGTGGCATAGGACAAATACTCTCTAATACCTTTCAAATGTCACTCTGTACAAAAGCGATGCAATAGCGCTCAGTTTTACATAATTTGAAATAATTCTGAAGATGGCATTAAAGGCTTAGTTAGTTTCAAGTAAAATTTGTTGTTATAATGATGTCGGTCCAAAAAGTTCAATGTAGGCCTAAATCTTTGCTTATATAATAATGAATGAATGTGTGTTCAATTGTTTTGATAATAAACGGATTCAAAAATCCAGCTTGGACAATGAATTTTCTGGAGCTGCACCTCTGCTTGCTGTTTTCAAAGCAGCCTTGTCTGCTTCCTAAAAGCCCTTTGTTACGGTAGCACAGTCTTCCTTCCTTTTACTAAAGCAAAAGCAACGTAATCAGGTTGACAGTGTTGACCTTCCTGCAGGCCACTGGCTCATGCTTGCTGTCCACCCTCATGCAGCAAGAATTAGACTGTTAGACTCAGTGTGAGTCTTGGAATGGTTAAGTAGACCCAGTGTGGGTCTTGGAATGGTTAAGTGTTAATCAGAAGGCATAGGGAGATAGGATTGCTCTTTTGTGTAACGTCTGTATTAATATATGGCATCTTTTCATTCATCTGCAGTATTGAAATGGCAACTTCTGCAGCGTAGTGGATGTATTTCAATGTTGTGTTGTAAAATACTGGTACCTGTTTTAACATAGAAAATCTGTTTTAGCTGTTGTGTTTTCAGTAGTCTGTGTATAAGTGTGCTGGACAGTGTGTGCGTTTCATTCTGTTTCTCCATCATTGGGTAGCCGGTGGGCCACACACGCCTTGCCTGTGCAGCATTTAATACTGTAAGAATGAAGCTTCACCCTTTCTCCTCTGTCTCTTCTCAGACGCAATGTCAACTGCATCTCCTGCCAAAAGCCTGGGGGATCCTGGCATCACGCCCCTGTCTCCGTCCCATTCTTCGGTAAGACCACTGCAGACAATAGCTCTCCATTTTGGGCTGCTTGACAAAGCCCCAACTTTGTTTCTTTGGCATATGGGTGTTAAAATATGGAGTACCATGCACTTTTTTTGTTTGCTGCTAATGGTGACACATGTGTACATGCAGGTATATTTATATATACAAGTTACAGCTGCTTAGACCAATGTAATTAAACACTGGTGCTTTCAGCAGAAAGACGCAGACAGCAGTGAGCCTTCAGCACCCTCATTTGTGGTTGTGGTTGCCATTGACTTCGGCACCACATCCAGCGGCTACGCCTACAGTTTCACCAAGGAGCCCGAATGTATCCACATCATGAGGTGAGGCAGGGAGGCGGACGGGGCAAAGGAAGCTGAGCCATTTGTCATCCGATCACAGAGTAGGGTTTGTCTATTACCATTTCAGTGCCAAAATACAGTTAGGTCCATATATATTTGGACACTGACACAAGTTTTACTATTTTAACTGTTTACTGAAATATATTCCAATTGAAGTTATACAATAGGCATTGACATAAAGTGCAGACTCTCAGATTTCATTTTAGGGTATCCACATTCAAATTGGATGAAGGGTTTAGGAGTTTCAGCTCGTTAACATGTGCCACCCTCTTTTTAAAGGGGCCAAAAGTAATTGGACAATTTAATGGACAGGCGTGGGCAATTCTTTCATTCTTTCATTATCAATTAAGCAGATAAAATGCCTGGAGTTGATTTCAGGTGTCTTGTTTGCATTTGAAAGATTGAGGTGTGAATATACAACATGTGGTCAAAGGAACTCAGTATGCAGGTGACACAGGCCATCCTTAGGCTGCGAAAACAGAAAAAAACAATTCGAGAAAATGCCACAACAATAAAGAGAAGATTGGACTTTGCAAAAATGCCAGCGCAGTTCTGGAACAGCATTCCTTGGACAGATGAAACCAAGATCAACCTGTATCAGAATGATGGAAAGCAAAAAGTATGGAGAAGGTCTGGAACAGCTTATGATCCAAAGAACACCGCATCAACTGTAAAACATGCTGGAGGCAGTGTGATGGCTTGGGCGTGCATGGCTGCCAGTGGCACTGGGTCTTCAGTGTTTCTTGATGTGTCACAGGATGGATCGCTGAATGAATGCTGAGGTGTTCAGAGACATCATGTCTGCTCAAATCCAGCCACATGCAGCCAAATGCAGCCAAATTGATTGGGCGGCGTTTCATAATACAGATAGACAATGACCCAAAACACACAACAAAAGCAACCCAGGACTTTATTAAAGCAAAGAAGTGGAATATTCTCGAATGGCCAAGTCAGTCACCTGATCTCAACCCCATGCATTTCACTTGCTAAAGACTAAACTACAGATAGAAAGACCCTCAAATAAACAGCAACGGAAAGCTGCTGCAGTAAAGGCTTGGCAGAGCATTAAAAAGGAGGAAACCCAGCGTCTGGTCAAGTCCATGAGTTCAAGACTTCAGGCAGTCATTGCCTGCAAAGGCAATTCTAAGTATTAGAATTGATCATTTTATTTGCAGTTACATTCATTTGTCCAATTACTTATAAGCCCCTGAAAGGAGGGGATTGTGTAGAAAAATTACTTTAGTTCCCCCCATTTTTATGCAATGTTTTTGTTCTACTCACTGAATTAAAGCTGAAAGTCTGCACTTCAGCTGCATCTGACTTGTTTCTTTTACAATTTATTGTGGTAATATACAGAACTTAAAAATTGAAAAACTTTGTCTCTGTCCAAATATTTATGGTCCTAACTGTATGTTCATAAAATGCCACGTTTTCCATATGTCATGTGATCTCACAAATGGCTTTATTTGTTAGTGATTATTGGTAAAGTTAGGGATCGACTGGAGGTATGTATTATACATGGGTGTATTATCGCTTACATACATATATGACTTATTGAATTTTTATGGTGATTGACTGAAGAGTTCTGTACCATTGGAGCATATCTCTCTCTCCCTTTCTCTGGGAGGGATCATCTCCTGACTTACAGGCAGGCCTCCTCTGATGCTTGATGGATTTTCATTTGAACGCTAGCATGAAACGTCACCCCAGGGACTGAAGAGGGGCTTAAAGCAAATCCCCTGCTGTGTGGCTCACACACCACCATGACATCATGCATGCATTAACCCAGTGCCTCCACTCCCCGAATCAAATACATATGCTTAGACTGCTGTCTATGCTTTTGCTTTGGTTAAGTGAGGACCTCAGTGCAGTGGACTTCTATTTGATCTATTTGCTTAGCTGAGTTGCTTCTCATTGTTCAGAGAGAGAGAAAGAGAGAGAGAGAGAGCGAGCAGGTGGACACACAAAGATGAAGAAGCACTTACACAGTCAGCAATGAAGGTATTCATTCCCAAGGAAATGAGCTTGAGTGTGTTTGTCCTGAAAAGGTGATCGATGTCTCACAGGGCATAACATGCTGGGATGAGCTATTGGAAGGGCTGGAATGATCAGCCCTAGTCTGCATTATGAGCACCTCTGTTTAACAGGACATGCAGAGTAAGTCTTTCATTGCAAAGTGGAAGTGACTGTTTACTGTGCATATGACAGATAAACTCTTGAATCTTATTCCTGGATCCCCATTTGTTTCTCGGTGTCTTTCCATGTCTCCCTGTGTCTGTGCATGTCTGTCTGTGTCTCTCTGTCTGTCCCTGTTTGTCAGTGTCTGTCCATGTCTGTCTCTGTTTCTCTGTGGGTCCTTTTCCACTGCACCAGGTACTGAACTGCTGGTAATTCAAAAACGTGTTGAAGACTCATTGGCCATAACAGTCTGATCAAACTCTTCACAAACCATCTATACTGTGTTTAGGTCAGATGACCAGGTGATTCAACTGTATCACTCTCCTTTGTAGGAGGCTTGGTATGTCCAAACTGTTGACTGGTACTGTATGTAAAATGGGAGGGCAAGTTTGAGAATGATACTCATCCAGGAAAGAAAAAAAAGAAAAAAGAAAACAATGAATTATGTAAAAATAAAGGTATTTTGATAAGCAGCTGCTATTGTATTGGCCAAATTGGGTTAAGCAGTAGGCCAGGCAGTACACTGTAACATGTAACATGAATGGTTTTATATTATGCATAAGATGCATGTTGTGCGAACTGAACAGCCTTCAACGCTCATGCTCATTTTTTTGGGAATGAAGCTCATTATTGTTCATTTAATTGGCAAGTTTTAAAATGTTTTTCTGCTCTTTTCCTATCGGTAGTCAGTTAGGGTTTAGTCACAACTTATACAACTATGTAACTGACATGAAAGACATGCTCTTTGCAGACAGGTCGTGATCATTAGCTCTTTTATAAGGGCCAGTCTGTCCGTCCGTCTGTCCATCCATCCATCCAAACATCATCATGCTGTTTATTTAATACAGTGTTGTGGGGCCTGGAGCCTGCCCCAGGCAGATAAGTGGCCTGGATGGGATGCCCATCCATGCTTTCTGTGAACACCTTGTAGGACAGCCTGCAATTGTGCTCCACAGGCGCTGGGAGGGGGGAGACCCTGGAGTATCCAATCAGAAGACTCCCACCACCATTCTTTTGACCCCTGACCGGAAGTTCCACAGTTTTGGCTATGCGGCCCGTGATTTCTACCATGACCTGGACCCTACTGAGGCCAGACACTGGTTCTACCTGGAGAAGTTCAAGATGAAGCTTCACACCTTAGCGGTGAACATGCTTAAAACACTCGTGCATGTGTTTGGAGATTATAGCATGTTTTTCCAACAAGTCAGATATGTATCCTACATGTGCATAACATTCTCTCCTCCATTCCTTAGGCCTGAGACTCTCTTTAGCACACCATACAGCTGTGCATGTTTGTGGATACAGTGAGGTGACACTGACATTTTTATTTTGTCTGCAGAACCTCTCCATTGAGACAGATATTCAGGCAGCCAATGGGAAGCGAGTTAAGGCACTGGATATATTTTCTTACGCTCTGTCATTCTTTAAAGACCAAGCTCTCAAGGTACAACCTTCCTGCACCAAAACCACCACCTGTGTTAGCAACTTAGGCTTCTAGGGCCATATTACAGAAACTTCCCAACTCGTAGATCCTAGCATAACTGTTTGGTAACCATGGTAACTAGGGTTAGGTTCCGAAAAAAGCCATTGCAGATAAACAGTCCCTAAGTCATTAGGCGCTTTCACACCAAAGTTCCAGAATCTGCTCTGAGTTTACAAGGCCTTGGGCTGTTATGACCTGGAAGTTTTGTAGCTTCAGGCCACTTTTGTGTGTCGCTTTCACAACACAACAGGAACTGGGACCTTTATGCTAAATAAATAAATAATACAACAAGTTTGTAGGTTAAACAATGTAATTTTATACATATAAATAAGTTATTTGGTAGTTATTTGTTAGTTACTGGGGCAATTGATTGCAATCAAAATGGGACCCAGCCATTTATTTATACTTTACTTAGTGATAAAATTGAAGTAAAAGTTAGTGATTAAATTTTCCTATGTAGAAATATGGAGATGTAAGCAACAAATGTATTAATTGATGCATTAGATGAAGCTCCCCCTATCCCATTTTCTTTACTTCTGTGTAATTTCGATGTTAGCGCTGGTGCTTGTGGTGTGTCAGGCCTTTAGTAGGTACTAAAAAGGGGCTCTGGAATTGCTTTCAAGGAGCTACCATCGGGTACAGTTCCTGCAGTGTGAACACAACAAAAGTCCCTGGTTCTGGAAAAAAGGTTCTGGTTCCAGAAAAAGTTCCGCTCTTGTCAAATATGAAAAATACTTCTATAATATACTTAGCCATTTTTCAAATTCAGCAGAAAATCCCACACCTCGCTTTGTGATGTCATTTGTGCCAATTTTTACTTCCGTGGAAAACCAAAAGTATGGTGCCTGGTGTGGTGGCAACATAACACGTCACGACATATTTAAATGTGGACACAATTGATATAATTTTTATTGTCATCGTTCCTAAAATATATGAAGATGTGGCCACGCTATGTATAATTTTTAGTGTTATATCCTGAGTGGGCCATCTGTAGTTTCCATGAGCGGAAGAACTCACCGTAATTAAGTTTAAGCTTCCAATCACGATTATCGAATGCCCGGTGTATTTGGACTGGTTGATGGTCCTTTGTTTCCTATCAAAGCCCCCAGTGGGGAGGATCAGGCAATATACATGAGCCGTAAAGGATACCATGCCTTCAACAAACAAACCATAGTTCAACTCATGATGCTTTCTACTTTAACACAAGGTGGTGTATTATTATTAGTAGCAGTAGTAGTTTTTTGTTATTTTTTTAAGTATGGATGCTGTCTTTTTTTAAGAAAATCTAACATTATTGGGTTACAAAATAGCTCTGCAAGATTAGAAAAGTAGTATCAGTTACATGGTAACAGACAAAGTCGATTGAGTATTGAGTACTTAGGTTGCCTAATCTGAGATAAGATCGGATGAAGTAAGATAAGATAGGATTCCTAATGTGTGTTAGGATTTGCTTCTGTAATACGAAATTGGGAAAAATCCTATCTTATATTCTTCTTATCTTAACGCTTAAGAAAGGAAGTTTCTGCAATACGGTTCTAGTCTTTGCCGGAGTATTTTTCATATTTGACATCATCTTGGAGTAAATCCTTCTGTGTTGATAAGAGTTTGGGCTGTATTGTCAAACCTCTAAAAGCCAGTCAGAAATATACTGTGAACCAGAAGCCTCCTGTGCATTAAAGTGTGGCCTCATATCAGTCGATGACTCTGGATTGTGTATGTTGCAGGAACTGAGTGACCAGACAGGCGCCGAGTTCAACAATGCAGATGTGAGGTGGGTGATCACAGTGCCGGCCATCTGGAAGCAGCCGGCCAAGCAGTTCATGAGAGAAGCAGCCTACAAGGTGAGGGGCTCTGAAGCGAGGACCAGCCAGAATATAAGTGAACAGGATCTACCTGCTCATCCCCCAGCTGTGATGTCAGCTTTCCTCCCTCTCATCAGAGCTGTTTTAGTGCTTTACTGCAAGGGGCTACATTTTAAATGAAAAAGTTGGTTCTTCCGAAATAAGAATCAGAATCTTTTTATTTGCTAAGTACAAAAAGAATTCATTTTGGTGCAGGTGACATGAAACGTACGATTAAAGATAAAATCAAGACAAAGTATAATAAACTGAATATTTTTTCTTTGAACAGAAAACCATAAAGATGATAAATGTGCAATGAATAAATAAGCATTGACACATAAGTAGAGGTGAAGCAAGCAGATGTGGGTTACAGACACCTCTTGGTACGTCTTGGTAATGTGCAGATACACTTATGTAGTAGGGGGACTCAAATAGTGAACTCTGGTCTGCTCCCAAAGCACAATGTAATCCAGACTGCACAATCAATACCCCCCACCCTTGGTTTTGTGCGGCTGGAAAAAATAATTGAATAGCCTTGTTATAAGGTATTGCATTTTTATATTTTAGCCTTTCTGAGACAGTAGTGTCCTGTCAGGCACTGACTGGTTAAATCAATTTGGCACACAACTTAGTTCCTATTAGAACCAAGCAGTGATTATCTGTCCATGATAATCTCACCCACTGCAAATGATATACCTTTATTTCTCAGTAGGCATGTGTTGAGCTCAGTGTATGAGCCTGTGTGAGTCTCCCTGTGCTCCTCACTATCCCCTAGGAGACTGCAGCCTCAGATCGATTAAAATGGGGTCCACTTTCAGGACAGAGTATCCCTTTGTTCCGGTACTGTTCCGTAGCTCATCCCTCTGGTGGTGGATCAGTGCTACTGCAGCTGCCTGGGCACAGTAAATTTGCATTACCACAGCTTCTCTGCAGAGGGACCCATCAATAATGCAGGAGCACCATATTAAGAACATGGGCGTGGCAGCTCACTGCCGTGTATCCATCCCGCAGAGACGGGAGGGGCTGGAGGAGACCGGTGAGAGTGGGGTATGGAATGTGCCCCCTGCAGTGGGACCTTAGGGAGGTGCAGAGGAGGAGAAAAGGGAGTTGTAGAGGAGAGGGACATGGAACAGGAGGGAGATACAGTGAGGGTGATAGTGCTGGAGGTAGGAATATGGAGGGCAGCCTGATGTGGTGGTGGGGGAGGGGAGGTGAGGTGCTGCAGAGCGTCCTGCCTCCTGACATCTGCAGCACTGGAACGGGGAGGGTGAGTACGTCAGCAGTGACTCAGCACCTTCACTGAGGCATTTGCGATTCTAGACAGGAAATCGGAGTGCAGATGCCCCCCTCCCCCCTATTGTCACTCTAGCTCGCCTCTGTACTTTCTCACTGCGGTAGTCAGGCTACATTTTCCCTGTGAATGTAGCTCAGAATAAAAAGCCTGCAGGCACCCTGTGGCTCCAGACTCAGAGCGCGTGTTCATTTTGAATGGTGGGCATCCCTCCATCGAGTTTGTATTCACTTGTGAATTAATGTTTACATTTGCTGTGTTATGGAGCAAATACTCGGCCGGGCTGTGATTGCCACCAGCATACGAATGTTTGCAATATGATCCATAGCGGAACATGAGGGAACTGTCTGGGTTACAGTAGCAGAGAATGATGTCTGTATGAATCGTCTCCTGCATTTAGTGGTCACATCCCACAGAGGAGTCTGACCTCTGAACTTCCCACTATGAACCTGACTCAACTCTCCAGGCTGGCCTGGTTTCCCGCGACAACCCTGACCAGCTCATCATTGCCCTGGAGCCGGAGGCCGCCTCCATTTATTGCCGCAAGCTCCGTCTGCATCAGATGATTGACCTGTGCTCCAAGACTGCTGTGAATGGTTACAGCCCCACTGAAAGCGTGGGGGCAGGGATGGTGCAAGGTAAGCCCCACCCCCTCTCCGAATTGACGGTACACACTGCACTCCAGTCACAGCTCCTGTGAAGCTCAAACCCCCACCCTTCTTAGCTAATTAAAGGCTTGATGGGTAGTTTATTAGTTAAGAATTTTTCTCTGAAATGGTTCAGAACCATTGTTCTAGACACAAAGGCCTTTTCAGAGGGATGATACTGAAGGCAGTCTTAGTCTGGTCTCTGGGTTCTCCTGCTGGGTCATTGTTTCCATGAGCAGTCCTGTAATGTTTTGACAGGACAGTTGGAAGCCCTGAACCAGGGGGGGGGGTGCTGTGGTAACTCAGGGGAGTTCATCTTCAATACTCTGGCTTGTTTAGTCACTTTCAGCTCAGCAGAAAAGATTTAACGTTAAACAGGATGCAGCTGTGGAGGTGGAACGACACTGCTTGGATGTCATTCCAGAATGTTCAGTGACTCTTTGATACAGCCAGTGTGGAGTGTGACTTGGCTATCCTGGTTTTGACTGCACGTGGGTGTGTCTGTGAGAGAGGAGACTATGTGTGAAAGTGAGCAGCAGAATTGACTGCTGTACCCCATCCTTTCCCATTTTTCACTTTCAGTGTTTCATGTTCGTGCCTATATCTGACGTACATGCCTGCCTGTCAGTGGTCTGCTGTTGCTGCATGGTGATTATGAAGGCGCTTGTGTATATCCAGAGATCCACATCATTAACAGATCTGGCTTGATATACGCAGCCTGTTTTTGTTTCTCAGTTCCAATCCTGTAAATCTGGTTTTCCAAATTTGTCCCTTGTCATGTGTGTTTCACAGCTTCTTCTATACCTGCATGCAGGAAAAATGTTTCACCCTTGGGACCTCGTACCTGGGGAGATGCTGTCTCATGCCACCATTTTGTTCTGCTTGCTCTTGCTACTTAACCATCGCACATTAGCAATGGTATTAGTGTCTCTGACATACAACAACAGTCATGATGCGGTTTGGCCTGAATGTTACACCAGTGCAGTTGGTGGCAGTTACGAATCAGCAGCCGAAAGGCACACATATACTGCAGATTTATTTCTTACTTAATTAGCATTTCTGGCATTTTTGCGCACATATTGTTGCATTCCCTGACTCAGTCGTAATCTGGACACGCGTTTTAAATTTTTATGTACATCAGTTCCAGATGGTCCTCTCTCTGAGCTCAGAGACATTCAGTCCAGCTTTGCCAGCAGCCAGTGAAGCAGCAATAGCAAACCAGTGCTGTGACAACCCCCCTGCATGACACCCCCCCCCACCCCGACACAGACACACAGCATCAAATTCCTTTGTCATTCTTGCATATTGTGAGACTCTTGTCTCTCCACAATAATGGACTGACCCATAGAGGGGTGCGTTTTCCAAAGGCATGATGAAGGCGGGTCGCTCGATGGAGCTTGGTGACACGGCACCTCGTTTCTCACATGTCTTCTCTCTTCTTTCATTACCTTACTAATGGTTTTTACGGTAGTCAGGCCACTGCATGGTTGAATGGCTACGTTTAGCTCTGACATATGAAGGTTAATTCATTATTACTGCTGATCTGTTTGGCCAGGATGCGTATGAGGCCTTAAGCTTAATAACTGAAATACAAAAATTCCATGTGATGCATCATGCTGCCTCTTGGGCAGCTTCTGTAAAGTGTACAGTCTGCTTGACTCTAGTGCTTTAAGTCTAATTTCTTTTTAATAGTTGTGAATTTTGCTGCCTATACACGATTCAAAAGACATTTCTCATCTGCATTAAAAATAAAAAACAGTTTTGGATGTTGGTGGGCTATGCCTCTGTGGCTGTGATCAGAAGGTTGTCCGTCTTGAGATCTTGTACAAGACTTTTAACTTTGCAAAATGCTCCAGGGATGCCAGATGAATCGCTGACCCTGCGCTCCTCTGTATTTGTGTGTATGTCATAAAGGAGAGCGAGATGGCATATACCAAAACTAAAGAATGTACCTGTACTCGTGCTTGGTACAGATGGAAAATCATTTCATCCATTTTCCATAACAACTCGCCCAGCACTAGGTATTGGTGATTCTGGAGCCTGAGGCAAAGACCGCAGTGTACAAGCCAAATGATGACCAGCATGGGCAAGCACTGCATCACAGCACATACACTCCCATACTATGGACATGTAGAGACAGCAGGTCTCATAAGTGCATGCCTTGGGACTGACTCCAGTGCTGTATTTGGGATGTGCAAGTGCAGTGCTAATCGCTGAGCTACCCTGCCGTCCTGGAGTATTTACCCTGAATCCATTTGAAGAAATTCTTAGTTAAATGGTGGGGAACCAAATAGTCTTTTTTCGTTAACTGTATGTCAGAGAAAGGCAGGGTTAGCCTTTGTTTCTGGGGGAGGGGTTATTTGTGCGTTTGTCAGTCTGTGTATGTGTATGTGTGTATGTGTTTCCCTACAATGTGATAAAAACCTATAACCTTTTACCTTGTGGGGACATTTTTATGGTACCCACGTGGATAACCTAAATTTTATAAAAATCTGTGAATGCAATCAAAAAATGAAAAATGCCAAACATCTCGTATTTTGTTTGGTTATCTTTGCCTCGTTACATCTTTAAGGTTAGGGCTGGGTAGGGGTCTGGGTTGTCTTAGTTGGGATTAGGGTTATGGGGTTATGCCCGTAAAAATGAATGGAGAGTCCCCATAAAAATATGAATAAGTGGACTTTGTGTGTGTGTGTGTATGTGTTTGTGTGTGGATTATGTATACAGTCAACCCTCATGCTTCGTGATTCGCGAATTCACAGATCCACGAATATTTCATTGGAACCGAACTTATTTTTTATTTCTCGCACATCTGCGAAATCCTCAGAAAACCCTACAAAAGTGTTTATGTTTCATTTTCATAGTAATTTATAAGTTTTCATGCTTTTAAGTGTAAAATTGGTAAGAAAAAATTAGTTAATGAAGATTCTACTGTGTTTTTGGGGAATACAATTTACATACATACAGTTTAAAAATCCCTTAAAAATGTGACTTTCTTATGGAAACATTCCTTATACATACTCTACTGTACCTTTACAAGATGTGAATTCCATTTGCAAAGTTTATTCCCTTAGGAACACTAATGGTTACATAAATATTAGAAAATAGTTAATTTACTATTTTGTAATAGTAAGTACACGTTAACGTAAATTCAACACACAAAAATTTCTTGAAAGGTGCTAATGTTTATGTACATAGCAAATGCATCCCTGGTTTCCCTCTCAAGACGCATTTGCTATAAACACTGAAAGCGTTTGTTTACTCATTTTATCTTACTGTGAATGCAAAAGAAAACTGCAGCCAATGCCGTGTTCTATAAATTAGTACGGGTAACATCAGTATACTGTACTGTAAATGTGCTAGTGTGACAAATATCCATTAGGCGATACTGTACTCTATTTTTACATCAAACATTTGTTTTTTTAAAAAAGGCAATGTATTAAGCTAACATAAATGAAATTAAAGTGTTTTGGGAGCATGACTGGGATCATATTTAGGGTTTAAACTATAGAAATAAGCACATATTACCATTTTTAGTGACTCTACCAAACATCCGCGAATCCTCCTCATTCGCAACGGGTTCTGGAACATAACCTCTGACTGTATATTACGTTGTGGGGACCAGATGTTTCCCACAATGTAATAAAAATCTATTATGGGGGGTGGACCATTTTTGAAATTGTGGGGACCATTTTTCAGGGCAGAAATATTTCATTATTTCCTCATCCAATACATAATACATTCCCTTCACTGTTGCAGTCCAGCCACTACTTCATTAATTATTGCAAAGATTGCATTTTAGCCCTATCTGTATATTTATGAGTAAGGTTAGAATGAGCAATATATTAATCTTTGCTGACAATTGGCATGGCCTTGTGTAGTACTTTGTATACCAGGTAACATATAAATGTGCATCTTGTGTATGGTCACCCAAAAGCTGCTCTAACTCCAGCTGTCCTCTTTGAACAGCTTCGGTAGCTGTGGATGGAGCTCATTAATGATCCAATTTAATGTACAAACAATGGACACTTTGTCTTTTGGCAAGGCTTTGATAAAATCCTAGAAAAGTGTTTGTTGTTTTGATTGGCACAGTTCCTAATCAACGTAGCTGTTGTTCTTCAAACAATAGGAAACGACAAAAGAGCTCTCATGTGCTTATATTAAAGTAGAAGGTGACAGCCAGCTGTCTGGATAATGAGATTATGGGTCCGACTCTACTGAGTTTTCACAGTGGTTGTCCCTGTGTTCTTGGAGCTAATGAGTGATGCTGCAGCACTGGGATCAGATGAAAAATGGTCATTTACAGAGTGAGAGCTGGGTTTTATTGACACTGTGCTGCATGGGGCACATCTGGCAGGGAATCCCATTCCTAAATGTGCCCCTGCATCTGGAGCTCTCTGTCTGCCTGTTTAACTCAGCACAGCACTGCAGCCAGGAAGGGCAACAGCGCTGTTCACTTAGCTGATGTTTAATGAATATCATTATTACTTTAAAAGTTTTGATTAGTTTGGTTTTCGAGCTGATGAGTGTAGAGGAAGACTCATATTTTCACCACTAACCAGCATCTGAGCTACAGAAAACAGGACTCAAAATCTCTCACACGTCCTAACCCATACACACTTGCGTGCATTTCCAACCCTGCTGCACTGTACTGTTAGGCACTATATCCTCCCTTCCCCAGCTGCAGGCACAGACCTCAGAGCAGGCCTGTAGGGAGTGTGCCATTAGCGGGGCCTCTCAGTGGTATGGACACGCGAGGGCCCCGCTATCCTGCTGCTTGCCTTACTGCACACCAGCCAGCCGTGCCCAGCGCTTTGCCACCTCACGTTCAGCTTACCTTCTTTCTTTGTTAATGACCAGCAAAGGAGCACGTCCGGCGCAACCGGCAGAGCCGCACCTTTTTGGTGGAAAATGTCATAGGAGAGCTTTGGTCGGAGCTGGAAGAAGGTAGAGTCTCTCACTCTTTCTCTTTCTCTGGTCACCTTCTCCCCTGTGCCCCCACACTGTTTGCTCTTGCTGTTTCTAACACCGCTGGCATTATTCAAGTGAAATGTAGTAGTAGCCGCTAAAAGGAACTTAGCATCTTCCCATCTGTAGGTGTTTGGAGTGTCTTTGATCTCATGTTTTATGTGATGGCTGTATCTTTTGGGCAGGTTGCAAAGCCTGTCATTTTTAAAATGTGGTTTGGAAAATCCATAAACTATGACCTCATCTTATTGTCTTATCATCATCTATTTTCCTGCAAGAATGGAGTATACGGTTTATAGAGCTTAAGAAATCAAAATGATCCCCCCCCCCCCAGTGCATTCTTGGATTAGCAGATCCCTCAGTACTATATTGTTGCTCATTGGTGGCCTTAACATGATGTCAGCTTACGGTGCACACATAGGGTGAGATTTATGATTCTCGGCTTGAGCATCAGAGAGGGCCAGTCAGTAGCGTTCAGTCTGCTGAGTGTTGGCTCACCCCCACATCCCTGACGCTGACTCGCTTGGTTCACCTTTCCAGGTGACCGCTATGTGGTGGTGGACTGTGGTGGCGGCACAGTGGACCTGACTGTTCACCAGATCCGCCTGCCAGAAGGACATCTGAAAGAGCTCTATAAAGCCTCAGGTACAATTATTGCTCAGTGCACAATTATTTATAAATGTGGAAGTGTCATTGGATTTGTGCATACAGTAGGTACTGTTTAACACAACAAAGGTAGTTTATTGTGAAAGATGTTGTGCCCCTCAACTGAAAATGGTTTTCTCTGGAAGTAAATTTGACATTTTGCCTTTTATAATGATGTTTTTCGGCCTCCTGGCTAACTTTGTAACTGCTATATACCATTGAATAGGCTTTCTGAATGCTTGAAAGTGTGCCATTTGCACTTTTTCCAGGTGGCCCCTATGGATCTATTGGCATCGATTATGAGTTTGAGAAGCTTCTCTGCAAAATCTTTGGGCCAGACTTTATTGACCAGTTCAAGATAAAGCGTCCAGCAGCCTGGGTTGACCTGATGATCGCTTTTGAGTCACGAAAAAGGGCTGCAGCGCCGGACAGGAGCAACCCTCTGAATATCAACCTGCCCTTCTCATTCATCGACTACTACAAGAAGTTCCGTGGCCACAGCGTAGAGCATGCCCTGCGCAAGAGCAAGTGAGTCTCCGAAACCTGGACCTGGTGTCTTCATTTTAATTCAGGCAACATCAGGCAATTTTATCTCCCAAAATAGCTCTACAATGCTATAACATCAACTCCAACAAGATATCTAGTACACGTGAAACAGTAATATTAGCATAAACAGATAAATAAAGTACTTGCATTTATTAAGTATGTGGTAGTTAGTCTTACATACCTGAAAAGGTTCCTGCCAAGAGTTTCATGGTTTAGGCAAAGTAAAGGTTTGTCAGGGGAGTTTATTTATATAGGAAGTGCCAGTCGAGGATATCCTGCATAAATTGAATCAAGCCTGAACATAGAAAAACTCACTAAAAATTAAAATTAGGGCTGTCAAATGATTATTTTTTTAGTCACATACCTTGGGCATTAATCACACAGTTAATTGCATATACGGTCAAGTTGCAATAGTATCCAAAAAAGAAAAAGATTTTGTATTCTGTAAATTCAGAATAGCTATTTATTTATTCCATACATCTATCCATCCATCCATCCATCTATTATCCTCCGCTTATCCGAGGTCGGGTCGCGGGGGCAGCAGTCTCAGCAGGGAAACCCAGACTTCCCTCTCCCTGGCCACTTCATCCAGCTCCTCCAGGGGAATCCCGAGGCGTTCCCAAGCCAGCCGAGAGACATAGTCCCTCCAGCGTGTCCTGGGTCTTCCCCGGGACCTCCTCCCAGTGGGACATGCCCGGAACACCTCACCAGGGAGGCGTCCACTAGGCATCCTAAGCAGATTCCCGAGCCACATCATCTGGCTCCTCTCAATGCGGAGGAGCAGCGGCTCTACTCTGAGTCTCTCCCGAATGACCAAGCTCCTCACCCTATCTCTAAGGGAGAGCCCAGCCACTCTGCGGAGAATACACATTTCGACCGCTTGCACTCGCGATCTCGTTCTTTCGGTTACTACCCATAGCTCATGACCATAGGTGAGGGTAGGAACGTAGATCAACTGGTAAATCGAGAGCTTTGCGTTTTGGCTCAGCTCTTTCTTCACCATGACAGACCGATGCAGCGCCCGCATCACTGCTGATGCCGCACCAATCTGCCTGTCTATCTCCCGTTCCATCCTTCCCTCACTCGTGAACAAGACCCCGAGATACTTAAACTCCTCCACTTTGGGGGAGGACCCCATCCCCGACCTAGAGAGAGCATTCTACCCTTTTCCGGCTGAGGACCATGGTCTCGGATTTGGAGGTGCTGATTCTCATCCCAGCCGCTTCACACTCGGCTGCGAACTGTTCCAGTGAGAGCCGAAGGTCACGGTTCGATGAAGCCAACAGAACCACATCATCTGCAAAAAGCAGAAACCTAATCCTGAGGTCACCAAACCAGACACCCTCAATGCCCTGGCTGCGTTGAAGCTATGAACAGAATCGGTGACAAAGGGCAGCCCTGACGGAGTCCAACCCTCACTAGAAATGAGTCCAACTTATTGCCGCCCATGCGGACCAAGCTCTGAGACCGGTCATACAGGGACCGAACAGCCCTTATAAGGAAGCCCGGCACCCCATACTCCAGGAGCACTCCCCACAGGACTCCCCGAGGGACATGGTCGAATGCCTTCTCCACAAAATACATGTAGATTGGTTGGGCAAACTCCCATGTACCCTCCAAGACCCTGCTGAGAGTATAGAGCTGGTCCACTGTTCCACGGCCAGGGTGAAAACCACACTGCTCCTCCTGAATCTGAGGTTCGACAATCCAATGGACCCTCCTCTCCAGAACCCCTGAATAGACCTTACCTGGGAGGCTGAGGAGGGTGATGCCCCTATAGTTGGAGCACACACTCCGGTCCCCCTACTTAAAGAAGGGGACCACCACCCCGGTCTGCCAGTCCAGAGGCACTGCCCCTGATGTCCACTGCCCAACTAACACTGCACCCGACCCCTATGGCCCCTCTTACAGGTGGTGAGCCCACTGGAGGTTATTACATCTCAAAATAAAAACAAAAAATACATAATACATTTATCAGTGTTTCATGGGTCATTTTTTTCTTCTATTCCTGACTGCACTCAAAACAGAAAATGAATGTTTTGGAACAAAACAAACAACTATATAAGTCAAAAGCTATTTGGCAAATGGCTCTAAAACAAAAGTTTGACAACTATTGAAAGTACACTTATTGAATGGAAAGATACTCATTTTAAAGTATTAACCTTTAATAAAATAAAACAAATATCGTAAATTGAGAGTTTTATCATTTGATTTTTAATAAGAAATAAACAAAGTAACAATGTTTCCTCACCTTTTTCCTCCATCAGCCATCTGGATGTTTTGATTCTAGCTGTGAATTCTAGGAATATGCAATGTCATGAAGCTCATGCATTATTTGCAACCAGGAAAGGCATACTGTGCTCCCATTGGGTTATCAAAGTTAACACAAAGAAATAATTCATTATGACTCTAAAATTAGTGTTAAAGCATTAACTTTGATAGCCCTAAAAATAAAAATACAAACAAGTAAATTATTAAAATTTAAGTGACTGTGGGTTACTGTTCTCCTGCGAAAGGCCTTTTCAGTGCTGGACAGCCCTCAGTACATTACTAGATCAGTTTAAGTGTGCTGCATAAAAGTAGCTCTTTAAATGAACTTCTTAGACACAAGTAATACTAAATATGGATAAAATGAACACTACAGCTTGTGTTCCTCATTTACAGTAAGTGGTCTGTTATAAAGAATTGCTGGCCTCAGTTACAAAATAGACAATAGTTACCAACAGAGGGACAAATTAGGTTACACAAGGAGTGTTTTCAGCTACAGTTGAACTTGAATCAGTGCTCTGATTCTGCAGTTCAGCCCATACTGTATATGTCAACTCCTGGCAGACTTGTAAGTCATTGTGTTGGATGTCTGCCCAGAGAAGACCCCGGAGAATGTGGTCCATCATTCGAGATTTCTGATCTGATTGTGGTGCTGTGTCTATTAAGGAACATTGTTAGTCATTATGGGGAAATGGAGAAACCACTGGAGAATTCAGGTGCTTCTATAAGGCCAATAGATACCTTTGGTCTGTGTGAAATCTGCCTAGGGATCATAAAGCTACAGGAGACACAGACTATAGTAATAATTGAAAAAATATTGCCTTTGTGGGGACTTAAATTCCACCTATTGACAAAATGGTGGCATTCTTCCTAATGTACCCTTGTAATAGAACATCGTACTGTGAGTAGTGTGCAGTGGTCAGAGTCCAGTATAGTTACAGATAAATAGAGTGAGGAACAAATCTGTGGCTTTGGGTTAACCTTTTAATCCAAACTGGCAGTTGTTTTACAATAATGTGAAATGATTGAGATCCTGGATACACTTTAGTCAGAGGAATTCAGTGAAATTTGCATGTCAGCTGAGGATGGGGACTGAAGCTCACCCTTCATGCTTTCAGTGTGGATTTTGTGAAGTGGTCCTCCCAAGGGATGCTGCGGATGAACCCAGATGCAATGAATGCCCTCTTCAAGCCCACCATTGACCACATCATTCAACACCTCAGTGAGTTAAGCTGCCGCCTGCACTGAACATGTTCCTCTGGAGTTTTTGCTCAGTCTCATCTTGAATGTGGCCACCAGGCGGCCCGGACTATCTCAAGGTGTGCAGATGAGAGGCTTTAAAATTACAACCACTTTGTTTATGCAAGATGCGCCCATGAGTCCACCAGTTCTTTAATTAGTTCAGGATTAACAAATACCTCGGAAAGACTATCCTACACATTGAACTGGCGGTAAATGACATCAGCAACCTAAAAAAATGGTGTGAAGTCTTTTTTCTGGATCTTGAACTGAAATGGTGTTCTGTTGGCTGAAGAGTGTGCATGAGGAGATGTGCTGTGTGGATGGTGGACACCGTGTTTTTTGTGGGAGTGAAGCAATACTACAGGCAGGGCAGCAGCACCCTAACCACCAACAGGCCCATCTCCAAGAGCCCAGTCTAAAATTAACTGGTCCAGTAATTCACATATTGCCTGAGCACACAAAAACCAGGTTATGCAAACATGCCATAGTCTTTGAGGCATCATGATTATGGGGTACTGAGGCCTTTTGTCTAATGATGATATTGAACTCAAGTCCTTTCATTCATTTGCTGAAAAATTGTGCACAGTTGGCAGAGATGTTGTATAAGCAAAGAAAAGCCATGCTCTAACTCACCCCCTGATGCCCCTCAGGTGAACTTTTTGAAAAACCAGAGTTGACGAACATCAAGTTCCTGTTCCTGGTGGGTGGCTTCGCAGAGTCACCTCTGCTGCAGCATGCAGTGCAGAACATGCTGCAAGGCCGCTGCCGCATCATCATCCCACACGACGTGGGCCTGACCATCCTCAAGGGGGCAGTGCTCTTTGGCCTGGACCCGGGCGTGATTAAGGTGCGGCGCTCACCAATGACCTATGGGGTGGGTGTACTCAACCGATATGTAGAGGGTAAGCACCCACCCGACAAAATGCTGGTCAAGGACGGCACGCGCTGGTGCACTGATGTCTTTGACACCTTCATCGCCGCCGACCAGTCAGTGGCACTGGGTGAGACAGTCAAGCGCAGCTACACGCCGGCCAAACCTTCCCAACAGGTCATCGTCATTCACATCTACTGCTCAGAGCGTGAGGACGTGGCCTTCATCAGTGACCCCGGGGTCCGGAAGTGTGGCACACTGCGCCTGGATGTGAGTGGCACCGAGAGCCCAGCCACGCGTCGAGAGATCCAGACGCTCATGCAGTTTGGGGACACGGAGATCCGGGCCATGGCTGTTGATGTGACCACCTCCCGCAGTGTCAAAGCCAGCATCGACTTCCTCAGCCAGTAGATTGGAGGGGGTCAGCGTGCATCGTTCTCCCAGCATTTCCCGGCAATGGTGGGAGGGCGTTGCTTGTTCACCTGGGTTATGGCCAGCCCGAGCTGCACCCTGAGAAAATCCTTCAGTTCTGGTTCATAAAGCACTGCAATAGATGGTTTAGAAGAGGAGCAAAAATCATGTTTTGAAAGTACTGAGATTTTGAACAGTGGAGTAGTGTATTCTTAAATTTCCTGTACTGGCATTCGTAACTTGATTGTCAGTTAATTTAAATGAATGGGTGTTCCTAGGTGTTGGATAATTAATGAAGAGTAAGTATACTGGTCATTCGAAACCAGGGTCGGAATGGGTGTGAAAGAAAGATGAACGGGCTTGTTTGGAGCAATTAAATAATAGTTCAGTTTGACAGTAATCAAGCAGTAATTCAGCCTGAACCTTGTAAAGTCACCAGTCCCTGTGACCTGGTAGTCAGTAAAATTCACAAACCGGACTCATTACAGCTTTCATCATGTGTTCCCACAAGCCTGAGAAACCAAAGTAAATGATAAATATCACAGGGGATTTCTATGAAGTTGCATTGAAAAGATCATTTTGCAGTTCCAAATACTCATTGTGGTGTCTTTTTTTTTTCAACTTATTTCATGAATGAACATTTTACATATTTTCAAGATATTATGGTCCATTTAATACTGTTATTACAAGATATTATGGTCCATTTAATACTGGATTACTGTAGGACTTTCATTGTTTTTGAGAAACTCCAAGGCCCTTGCTGTCAGAGTAGTTACTGCCTGCTCAACATGATAATCTGTACACTGTTTGCTAGAGAGAACAGACTCATCCACTGCCTGAACAATTGGCTTTATTGACCAGTGTTCATTAGTTCACACAAAGCCGCAGTAAAAACTCACGTCACTGGTATATACGTTGCGCTGAAGAATAAATATAAATCCTAGAATGTGAAATGTTACTTATCTATTAAACAGCTTGTTTAAAAAGGCTGCTAGCTATACAGTACACGCAAACTGATTTCAGCAGAGCAATAGCAATGTGCCGCTGCCTTTGTTCTGTTACGCCTGCCGTGCTAAATGGGAATGAAGTCACGTGTTCGATTTTTTTTTTAACGTTCTGTTCAACAGACCACAGTGAAAAATCATAATGATAACCTTTGGGATTTGTGAAGTACAAAGGCAAGTGTTTATTTCTGTAAATACAGTATTTAAAAAGTTGTACAGTTTTTTAGCATTCTTGTTTTAGCAGCTTTAGAATGGGAAGTGTGCCTGCTTTTTGTGGATGCTCTCTCTCCATGTTTCAAACCAGCCTAGTGTACACCCTCATGGTGAAAGCTATTTGGACTGATGGGAAAAACTTAGCTGTTATTCATTCTGACATGTCAGAATGCCTGTGACCCTAACCTTTGCAGGAGGATGTATGACTTGGCAGAGAGTTGTTGTCTTTGAAGGATATTTGTTTTCCAATTTTTATGAATACCATGAAAAAACAGACTTTGCAAAGCTTGACACTTCCAAAGATTGTCAGATGAAAATGACTTTCCCCCCTGAATACCTTCACTCTATAAATGTAGCAATATTATTATTGTAATGCAGTCTTAAATACTAATTTTCTCAATGTTATCCTTCCAAATAACGCAAATATAACAATGTTCTATACCGTAGTGTGCAGTGGTATGGTTGACAGTATCTTGGGGCCACCACAGAACTGAGAAATATTACTTTTTATTTTATGTATACTGAACACTTTAACACTTTTAGTGTAATGTAACATGGTAAGTAAAATAACCAAATAAAGAGATCAAAAATCTGATGTTGAGAAATGTGTTCAAAAGAATCAGTATTCAGCGTCTACCCAATGACTTTCTTTGAGTCAGTACAAAATTAGATCAGCTTCCTTTGCTTCAGTACTCAGGACTTCAGGGCTAAGCTGTCTTTCTTGCTACAGTATGAAGTTTCGCAGAGGACAAGTTAGATTCTTCACAAGGCCTTTATTTAAAGGTGAAATGAGACCTTAGGTTTTGCTGTCACAGTTTTGACTCTTTCAGGCAAATTGTTTTAGTGACTACAAAAAGTGTTTATCACCATGTGATCCTGTCATCTCTGCCAATTCTAAAGCAGTAGTAATTTTATGTCTCACTGAACTAAAAATCAAAGTAAAAGAAGATTTGTGTTTGCGTGTTTAAACATCACTGAGTCTCATTACCAATTTCAAAGTGATACACTGTGTTCCATACAGTAAGTATTTGTACATTTTTAATAGGATTTAAACCATCAAAATACGCTTAAAAAGCAGACTGTTACCTTTAAGGTAGGGCTGGACAATAATTCGATATCAATATATATCGCGATAGAAATTTTTCCGATAACGGTGATACGATTTTTAAACACATTTCCGATATTTCGATATACATTTACATGTATCACAAGTGCTAAACAGCGCGTATTCAAATCGCATTTGCATGGTAATTTGCTGAACAACGCAGCTGTTACACGTTGTCCAGGTACAACTTTTTTAGACAGCATAAATAATATTGAAGCATTTGTTTAAGCAGACTGTTAAAAGCAAAAGCAACAAAGCATTTTAGACTTTGTAAAGAAACC